GCCACAATTTGAAGCCTCACTATTATACAAATATAAGCACAAATAGCAGCAGTTTAAAACACTAAACAGTGGGTTAATTTTCTCTCTTTCTCAATTCAAGCATTAGAAGTCAGTGATAGCTTTGCTTCCTGGCAATCGGGCAGGTGCTTCTGAATTCCCTCCTGCATAATCTTGAATCTTTTGCCCACAAACTAGACCTTTTTAACCCAGCACCATCTTTTCTAAAGTGCCATCTTCTTGGAGAGGGATTGTAAACAAGATTGGGCTCCCTTTTAAGTGCGAGTCGAATTGATGGGGAGGAGAAGAAGGGAGAGAAAACAGCAGACAGTGATGGTGCTACCCTCATTTTAATCCCCATCATTGCTAGTAACATTATTCTGGCAGTGTAACTCCCACATCCTGCTGTCACTGTGCTACCTACACATACATACTGAAATAACAAATTGGCTCTACTGTGAAATATTAACTCTTTCACAACTGCCACTTGTATGACATGATCCCAATAACAGAAATCACACACATACGATCCTCTAAAAATCAGACTCGCGCACATATTTGCTATATTGACATAGATATCTAACACATAAATCCTTTCATTAAAGAACGCATGTAAGAGCACGCATTCCTTTGCTGCATTAATCTAAATGCCACCACGGATACATCAACTGTCTCTTTTTCACTGGTCTGTAAAAAAGAAGAAGAAGAAGAAGAATGGGATATTTGGGGCAGCAGCTGTTCTCTTGCTGTATCTGCGCGTAATGACCTGACACAGAAACACACATTACGCACTACAAACCCAGGTCTGGCTACACTGATTTTAACCATGAGATTAACTCTCAGTCTAAGCATGCTTAGCAGATAGACGCTGTTAAAGGAGAAAGAGGAAAGCAAAACTGTCAGGTTTCCTTTAGAAACCATTTCAACTAACCAAAAAAGCGACAAGAGATCTGAAAGCTGTGTTGTCAAAGGCTTTCATGGCTGGAATCACTGGGTTGCTGTGAGTTTTCCGGGCTGTATGGCCATGTTCCAGAAGCATTCTCTCCTGACGTTTTGCCTGCATCTATGGCAGACATTCTCAGAGGTTGTAAGGTCTATTAGAAACTAGGAAAGGGGTTTATATATCTGTGGAATGCACAGGGTGGGAGAAAGTACTCTTGTCTGTTTGGGCTAGGTGTGAATGTTGCAATTGGCCACCTTGATTAGCATTGAATGGCCTTGCAGCTTCATGATCTGGCTGTTTATTACTGGGGAAATCCTTTGTTGGGAGGTGATTAGCTGGCCCTGATTGTTTCTTGTCTGGAATTCCCCTGAAAGCTTAGTTTAAAATATCATCTCCCCATGTAAGCCGCTCTTACATGGGGAGGTGGTGGTGGGATACAAAAATAAAGTTGTTGTTATTATTATTATTATTATTATTATTATTATTATTATTGCTGTTATTATTATTGCTGTTGTTGTTATTATTATTATTTGAAACACAACAAGATGAGTCCACAGCAGACAAGATCACTCTGCTGGTTGCTGTATTTAATCACATGTCAGACACTTTCCAAGTGTCTAGGACTGTGTGATGTATCGGTGAATAATGCTTGCAGATTACAGTGAGGTGGCCTTTTGCAGCTGGCAGATGGTAATTTTGTCAGCGCCGATTATGTTTAAGTGCAGGCCAAGGTCTTTAGGCACTGCACCCAGTGTGCCGATCACCATTGGGACCACCTTGACTAGCTTGGGCCAGAGTCTTTGCAGCTAATCATAAGTAATAATTCACAATCAGTAAACTATAGACAGAGAGTCATCATAGTATAGTGGTTTGATCAGCCCGTTATTCTGGAGGCTAAGTTTCAAATCTCCACTCAACCTATGGGGTGATTTTGAGCAAGTTACACTCTCTCAGCCTCAGAGGAGACAAAGGCAACCCCCCTGAAAAAAAACTTGCCTAGTAAAACCGTAAGTTGGATTTGGATGTGACTTGAAGGCATACAGGACATAGATATGGACTTCTTGTGAATTAAGCTAGAAAGAAGCTATTATATGGGGAGTCAAAATACTCTAAAGCAAGCATGGGCAAACTTGCGCCCTCCAGGTGTTTTGGACTTCAACTCTCACACTTCCTAACAGCCTCAGGCACTTTCCTTTTCCCCCTCAGCCGCTTAAGCGGCTGAGGGGGAAAATGAAGGGGCCTGAGGCTGTTAGGAAGTGTGGGAGTTGAAGTCCAAAACACCTGGAGGGCCCATTTGCCCATACCTATTCTAAAGGCACCAAACCTTGTCTGATCTTACAAGCTAAGCAGAGACACCCCAGCTTAAGACCTGGATGGGAGGAAACAAAGAAATACTAGTTGCGAATGACTATATTTCAGTGGAAGGAAGTGATATAACCACTTCTGGCTTTTTATTTCTAAGAAAAATGTGAAATCCATGCAGTTGCCATAATTTGACACCTTGAAGGCATACATACACACACAAAGAATAGTTTACTTCTTCAGTTATGAACCAGACAGAGGTGAAACATCACTATCCAGAGGGTAAGAGCTGAAGAAAAGTTACGAGGTTGCTGAGGAAGCCACTTGGGCTGCATCTACACTGTAGAATCAATGTTTGACACCCTTTTACCTGCTGTGGCTCAATGCTATGGATTCCTGGGATTTGTAGTTCGGTGAGGCACCAAGCACTCTTCGACAGAGAAGGCACAATGGGATTTTGGCCTGCATAAATAGGAGTGTAGTGTCTAGATCCAGGGAAGTCGTGCTACCCCTCTATTCTGCCTTGGTCAGACGACACCTGGAATACTGTGTCCAGTTCTGGGCACTGCAATTGAAGGGAGATGTTGACAAGTTGGAATGTGTCCAGAGGGCAACTAAAATGTTCAAGGGTCTGGAGACCAAGTCCTATGAGGAGTGGCTTAAAGAGCTAGGCATGTTTAGACTGCAGAAGAGAAGGCTGAGAGGAGACATGATGGCCATGTATAAATATGTGTGGGGAAATCATAGGGAGGAGGGAGCAAGCTTGTTTTCTGCTGCCCTGGAGACTAGGATGTGGAGCAATGGCTTCACAGGAAAGGTGATTCCACCTGAACATTAGAAAGAACTTCCTGACTGTGAGAACCATTCAGTAGTGGAACTCTCTGCCCAGGAGTGTGGTGGTGGTGCCTTCTTTAGAGTCTTTGAAAGAGAGGCTGAATGGCCATCTGTCGAGGGTGCTTTGAATGTGATTTTCCTGCTTCTTGGCAGGGGGTTGGACTGGATGGCCCACAAGGTCTCTTCCAACTCTATGATTCTATGAAACTACAATGCCCAGGATTCCATAGCATTGAGCCACAGCAGTTCAAGTGCTGTCAGATGGATGTAGATGCACCCCCAGTCTGCTTGATGCAACCCAAAGATGCCTGTAACTTCCCCGGCACTCCAAGTAATCCCCACCAGAGTCTTACAAAGAAGACTTGATGCAATTGAGCCAGACAAGGCAAAGGCTCCCATGCTCTTTCTTTTGAAGCTTGTTCTCTGAGGGGGGGGAGGGAGCTTGAAAGGATGCACACAGTTGGAGGAGACACACAATTCCCTTTGCATGTGGGTCAAAGCACACCAGGAGAAAACACACACATATACACACCTAACACACACATAAAGGACCTGGATGGGAGACAGCAGAGGAATGTCAAGTGCTGCAGGCTCTCTCTCAGAAGACGGAATTGACCAAACCACTTCTGAGAGAGTTGTTGTAAGTTTTCTGGGCTGTATAGCCATGTTCCAGAAGCATTTTCTCCTGACGTTATGCCTGCATCTATGGCAGGCATCCTCAGAGGTTGTGAGGTGTTCCTTGCCTATGAGTGTTCCTTCTGAGTGTTCCTTGGCTATGAAAACCTTACGCAATCCATAAATGGATAGGCAACTTGAATACATCCATAAACATAGGCTAGGATCCTCTCTTCAGCTATGAACAGGGCAAAGGGAAAAGAAACTACTCTCTTGACAAAGAGTGATTTTGGATCAGGCATGGGCAAACCTGGGCCCTCCAGGTGTTTGGGACTCCAATTCCCACAATTCCTAACAGCCACTGATGGAATTGAATCAAGCTTGACAACAGAACTCCCATGAGCAACAGAAAATACTGGAAGGGTTTGATGGGCATTGACCTTGAGTTTTGGAGTGTTGGTTCACCTACATCCAGGGAGCAGGAAGAGGGCTTTTAGTGGGAGGATTCACCATCTGTTTCCAAAAAGGAAGAGAAGGACTGGATGAGAGATCTTCAGCCTTCTCTGCTAAAGGGGTTCCTAAGACCATCAGAAATATGTGTCTTCTGATGGTCTTTGGTGACCCCTCTGAAACCCTCCTTGCGATCCCCAGCTTGAGAAACACAGCATTAGTAAGAGTGTAGCAATAGCCTCATCTTGTTTTGAGGCACCCCAGAGGTTGTTAGGGAATGCGGAAGTTGGAATCCAAAACATCTGGAGGGCCCAAGTTTGCCCAGAATACCTGCTTTGGAGTATTTTGGTTCCCCATATAAGCGACTGAGGGAGAAAAGGAAAAGCCTGAAGCTGTTAGGAATGGTGGGAGTTGGAGTCCAAAACACCTGGAGGGCTCAAATTCGCCCATACCTGCTTTAGAACATTGATGCTTCCCATATAAGTTGCTGAGGGGGAAAAGGAAGGGGCCTGAAACTGTTAGGAATGGTGGGAGTTGGAGTCCAAAACAGCTGGTGGGCCCAACTTTGCCCATACCTGCTTTAGAGTATTTTGGCTCCCCATATAAGCAGCTGAGGAGGGAAAGGAAAGGGCCTGAGGTTGTTAGGAATGGTGGAGTTGGAGTCCAAAACTTCTGGAGGGCCCAAATTTGCCCAGAGGAAGAAAGTGGCCAAACCACGTCTGACTCTTCTTGAGTGGGTCCTGGTTAAGCCCTGGATGGGAGGCAGCCCTTTAGGGAGAGCTGTAGGCTCCAATTCCGAGAGGGGAAGTAGCCAAACCAAGTTGGGACTGCTAGGCAATTCCTGTCCGCCTTCACCCACCTGTAGGACACCTGCTTCCTGAAGGTTAAACTCTTCAGCTTCTCTTCCAGGGACTCTTCCTTCTGCCCGGGCGGCGGGGGAAGGGGCTGCGGCGGCGGCGGCTGCGGCTGCTCCTGGGTCTCCGTGGCCGTGGGCTCCCCTCCGCCTTCGGCCCCGCGGCAAGAGGCGCCCTCGGCAGCCCCTTTCTCCTCCTGGCCGGCGGACGGAGGCGGGTTCATGGCGGTGCTGAAGGGACAGCGACCCAAGGGGAGGGCGCTGCGGGGAACGGGAAGGCAGGCGCCGGAGGAGGAGGGAGGGAGAGGCCAGGAGAGGAGGAGGAGGAGGAGGAAAAGGAGGAGGAGGAGGAGTGGGGAGCCTTCCCTCCCGGGCGCGCCAGGGGTCCCGGCAAAGGCGAAGGCGAAGGCGAATGGCAGGCGGCGCCTTCCCGCAGCAGCAGCAGCAGCATCCCTCGGCGGCGGGCGCACTGGCTGCAGAGGGGCATTGTGGGAAACTCCCTGCCTGCCGCCTCCGCGGCGGCCAATCAGCGCCGCCCTCCCGCCTCGCCGAGGCTGCTCCTCCTGGCCACGCCTCTTTTGGCAGGCAGGGAAGGAGGGAGGAGGGAGCAGAGGCAGGAGGCGCACCTGGGTGCATCTCTTCATCCATAAGAACAATACACTTCATTTATTTATTATTTATAATAATAATGGAAGTGGAAGTGGAAGTGGAAGAAGACATGGAAGTGGAAGAAGACAACAGAATAGGAAGGACACGAGACCTCTTCCAGAGAATTAGAAACATTGGAGGTAAATTTCAGGCAAAAATTGGTATGATAAGAAACAAAGATGGCAGGGACCTAACAGAAGCTGAAGAGATCAAGAGAAGGTGGCGAGACTATACAGAAGATCTGTATAGGAAGGATAATAATATCGAGGAGAGTTTTGACGGTGTGGTGAATGAATTAGAACCAGACATCCTGAGGAGTGAGGTTGAATGGGCCTTAAGAAGCATTGCTAACAACAAGGCAGCAGGAGACGACGGGATCCCAGCTGAACTGTTTAAAATCTTAAAAGATGATGCTGTCAAGGTGGTGCATGCCATATGCCAGCAAATATGGAAAACACAAGAATGGCCATCAGACTGGAAAAAATCAACTTATATCCCCATACCAAAAAAGGGAAATGCGAAAGACTGCTCCAACTTCCGTACAGTGGCCCTTATTTCTCATGCCAGTAAGGTAATGCTCAAGATCCTGCAAGGAAGACTCCAGCAATACATGGAGCGAGAGTTGCCAGATGTTCAAGCTGGGTTTAGAAAAGGCAGAGGAACGAGAGACCAAATTGCCAATATCCGCTGGATAATGGAGAAAGGCGGGGAGTTTCAGAAAAACATCTACTTCTGCTTCATTGACTATTCTAAAGCCTTTGACTGTGTGGATCATAATAAATTGTGGCAAGTTCTTGGTGGGATGGGCATCCCAAGCCACCTTGTCTCTCTCCTGAGGAATCTGTACAAGGACCAAGTAGCAACAGTCAGAACTGGCCACGGAACAACAGACTGGTTCAAGATTGGGAAAGGCGTACGGCAAGGCTGCATACTCTCACCCAACCCTTTTAACTTGTATGCAGAACACATCATGCGATGTGCGGGGCTGGATGAATGCAAAGCTGGGGTGAAAATTGCTGGAAGAAACATTAACAACCTCAGATATGCAGATGACACCACTCTGATGGCGAAAGCGAGGAGGAGCTGAGGAGCCTTCTAATCAAGGTGAAAGAAGAAAGCGCAAAAGCCGGGTTGCAGCTAAACATCAAAAAAACCAAGATTATGGCAACAAGAATGATTGACAACTGGAAAATAGAGGGAGAAATGTGGAGGCCGTGACAGACTTTGTATTTCTAGGTGCAAAGATTACTGCAGATGCAGACTGTGGCCAGGAAATCAGAAGACTCTTACTTCTTGGGAGGAGAGCAATGTCCAATCTCGATAAAATAGTAAAGAGTAGAGACATCACACTGGCAATGAAGATCCGCCTAGTCAAAGCCATGGTATTCCCTGTAGTAACCTACGGATGTGAGAGCTGGACCATAGGAAAGGCTGAGCAAAGGAAGATCGATGCTTTTGAACTGTGGTGCTGGAGGAAAGTTCTGAGAGTGCCTTGGACTGCGAGAAGATCCAACCATTCCATCCTCCAGGAAATAAAGCCCGACTGCTCACTGGAGGGAAGGATACTAGAGACAAAGTTGAAGTACTTTGGCCACATCATGAGGAGACAGGAAAGCCTAGAGAAGACAATTATGCTGGGGAAAGTGGAAGGAAAAAGGAAGAGGGGCCGACCAAGGGCAAGATGGATGGATGGCATCCTTGAAGTGACTGGACTGACCTTGAAGGAGCTGGGGGTGGTGACGGCCGACAGGGAGCTCTGGCGTGGGCTGGTCCATGAGGTCACGAAGAGTCAGAGACGACTGAATGAATGAACAACAACAACAACTGAACATATTCAATTTATTTAGTTATCATGTCATCCGCAACCAGAACATTGTATTACATTTCTAACAGAGCAAAACAAACAAACAGATAAAAAAGCACACAAATTTTGCAAACTTGGTAGCTGATTAAATGTCCTTTGACCAGTATCTGGCCACTTGGAGTGCCTCTGGTGTTGCCAGGGACATGAGAGAAGCCTCCTCGCAGGATTGCAAGACATCCGGGCGTCCCCTGGGCAACGTCTTTGTAGACAGCTGATTCTCTCGATCCAGAAGCAACCAGAGATGACTTGCAGCATGCAAACATATTCAATTAAAACGTTATAAGAGCAAAATGCAATCACATAATAACAATGGTCAGTCGTCGTAGTGAAATCGTTGTCCATCATTGATCGTCATCTATCCGATCAGAGAAATATTGATTCACTCATCGAAAGCCAAACCCCATAGCCAGGTTTTCACCCGTTTTCTGAACGACAGAATGGGGGGTTGAGTCCGAGTGAAAGAGGGTCTACCCTAGCAAACCTTTTGTATTGTTACCCCAATACCCCCATGCATATGGGATATATTGAGCATGGTGATCAGATCATGATATGAATAACGTACCAGTAAGGCCTTTTCGCAGACCACCATGAGAATTGGGGGGGGGCTGAAGGGGGGATAGAGGTCTTATTAGGTCGTTCCATGGCTCGTGGCAACTTCTGAAAAAGTGGGGAGGGGAATTAAAGATCACAGGAGTTAAAGCACCAAAGATAGGAACTCACCAAACATTATGCCAGCGGAATGGGTTTGGTCAGAGCTTCAGAAGTTCATTTCTTGAACTATAATGCCAGAATCCCACTTCCAGCATGACTATTGATCATATAACAGCTTTAGGCAAAGGCCATGCTGGTTGAAAATTTCTGGGAGTTGTGGCCCAAAAAAGTAACTTTCCCAGATATAGATTTTGAGAGATGCCAAACAATGGTTGGCTTGGCAGCTGTTTCCGGGTGCAGTATTTTTCCAAGTGTTTTGAACTTTGTGTTTCTACTGCAGATTTGTGTGCCTAAAAATCTCACGGTGGTACAAGGTAACTTGCTGCAATTAACTTACCTTTTGATAAATCATTCTTGACAATTGCCATCCATCCTTTCATTGATTCCACTAATGCATATAGTCATGATGGAGAATTAACTTACTAGGGTGAGTAATTAATTGTAGGGCAAAGATAATTACAAATGATAGCATACTAACAGTGGAACATGCTGCTTTGGAGTGTTGTGGAGTCACCATCTCTGGAGGTTTTAAACAAAGACTGGAAGGCCATCTGTCAGGAGTGTTTTGATTGTGTATTCCTACATGGCAGAAGGAGGTTTATTTATTTATTTATTTACAGTATTTATATTCTGCCCATCTCACCCCGAAGGGGACTTAGGGCGGATCACAATGTACATATACATGGCAAACATTTAATGCTGTTTTCTAGACATACATACAGACAGATAGAGGTATTTTGGGCATTTCTACTTCAGTGCCTTGAGGTTAAGCTCGATTCCGGCCACAAGGGGGAGCTGTCACTTCATTCATTATGACGCCGAGTCTTTTTGGTCATATTTCCTCCTTGCTCTATGACCGCTGGCATTTGTATGTTGTCGTAAAATACCTCCCCGCTTTAAGCGGTCCCTAATTTCTCAACTCACAACTCATCTGTTTTCGAACTGCTTAGGTGGACAGTAAGCTAGGCTTAACAGTTGGGTGCTCAATCCGACTTGGACTTTGAACCTGTCACCTTTCAGTCAGTAGTATCTATTGCAGCTGGTGATTAACCAGCTGTGCTACAGGTCAGCCCTTGTTGAACTAGATGATCCTTGTGACTTGATAATGATGGTGATAGTATTCATTTGAATCCTGGTAATACATTGAGCTACATGGAGAAAGAGAATGAGTGCAATAAATTAGAATGGTATTGTTTATCTTTGTATGTTACCTCTTCTTTTTCCCTTTCCAGAATGACTGTAAAATAAAATCCATGGCAAGCATGCATTGCTACAATAAAATATCTAAAACGGCACTAGTTAAATTGCAGACTACAAGATAAAAGTGGTAATAAAATAATTAATTGAAATTCCAGGAAGCATTGCCTTAAATCACAGTAGCAATGAACCAGGAGAACTGCTCTGGAAAAATGAGCTCCAAACATAGAGTTCCACCAAAAGAGAGGTCTTTTTTTCTGGTATTGCATCTTGTCCTTCATTAGGAGATAATTAGATTAGGCATTTCTTCAGTTCTGCCAAACACTGCCAAAAACAGAGGTTGAAAATGCTGACCCAAACCATAGTGACTAAAGTAGACCTATTTAATAAATGGGATTTACCTATGTGTTGTCACACCATACAGCAGTTGATGTAGATCTCCTCTGGTTACGACTCGCCAGTAGGATTCAAGTCATAAAATTGCAACAGCAAAAACAGCAGAGAGGAATCAGGCAGGGACATCTAATTACCTTTCAAGAAGAGTTTGCTCCAGGCACAGTCAGCCCATTGTATGCTAATCAAGGAGGTCAGTTGAAATATTCACACCTAGCCCAACTTACAAAAGTCCTTTGTCTCACCCTGGTTATTCCACAGATATATAAACCCCTTCCCAGTTCCAACAGACCTCACCTCTGAGGATGCTTGCCATAGATGCAGGCGAAACGTCAGGAGAAATGCCTCTAGAACATGGCCATATAGCCCGAAAAAACCCACAAGAACCTAGTGATTCCAGCCATGAAAGCCTTCGACAATACATTGATTCAAGTCATTGTTGCACTCATCGATGTGAAATTTACTTTAATGCTGCTGCAGATGGTTCTTCTTTTACTCTGCTGTCATTCTTCTCCATTCTGATAGTTCCCATTTTGTAGCATTCACTGCCTGGCAAATCATTATGCATACGAGGCAGGATTTAAATATTTTAAGTAAAGAAAGGGAGAGAACATGGCGAAGAGAAAAGCACAGCAGTGGTGCTGCAATGGGAAATGCCTTCCAGAAGAGGAAAGCAAACAAATATGGAATGGTTTGA